TCAAAACAAGACCCCCCCCCTTTTTTTAAGATTTATTTACTTATATGTACAAGAATTGGGGTACAGGCCAGAGTTGTGGGGGGTGAGAGGATACACCAGAGACAGAGTGGGGAGCAGAACAGGCAGACTGACTGAAATACACTGCTGAGGGATGCAGCAGGCAAGTCAGGAGAGGTCTGCTGCGCCATGTGGGTCGCTCCCTGGCCAGGGATCAAACTCGTGCTGCAGAGGCTACAGACAGCTTCACAGCGCTGTGCCCAATGATTTTCTTTCCTGAAATGAATAGCTGTTGAAATGTAGGAGTGGGAGAGAGGAAAAAAGGAAGAGACGAGATTCCTCCTAGGGAGGAAGGGAGAGATGCTTCCATGAGCTCAAATACTGCTAACATTTTTTAACTGGGTCCTCTTGGTGGTGCAAGGGGTTAAGCACTGTGAAGCTATCCACAGCCTTTGCAGCACCCCCGTCCAGGGAGCTGACCCACATGGTGCAGCAGCCCTCTCCTGTCTCAGCCATGCTCCCCTCAGCAGTGTATTTCAGTAGATTCACCTGCTCTGCTCCCCACTATGTCTCTGGTGAATCCTCTCACCCTCTCTACCTCCGTCCTAACCCCAGTTATTGTATGCATAAATAAATCTTTTTAAAGAAACATTTTTTAACTGAAGAAAACCAGCCAGGGGCTTCCTCACTCCACCAGGACACCCCTTCCCTACACTCCTTCCTCGAGACAAACCCTCCCAGACACCTCCACCCCACACACACACACACACACACACACACACACAGAGGCTTTCTCTTTCTACAGATCTTCTTCCACTTAAAATGGGATTACATCTATAGAAACCCAGCATATACTGAAAATAAGGGAAACCCAGCATGCATTTAACACAGTATCCAAAAACATGCCTGTAGCACAGTAGACTGCAGAGCGTGGGCTATTTCCCTGGCTGGGAGCTGCACCGGCTGCCTAGCCCAGCAACTGCAAGACCAAGGCACTGCGCATCACAGGCCTAGGAAAGAGATCACAATCCGAAATGTGAAGTGCATTTCTGTGGAACGCTTTCCCTACCATCAAAAAGTCGAAAAATTCTAAGTCAAGCCAGCGCTGGCTTTTGGCCACCCTTCTGGTCCCGGAAGGTCATATCCTGAGAGTGACCTTCTAAAGTATCTCCACCCTTCCCCCCAATCACTCAATCTCACGGCTCCGGTTTGATAACTTTACAGCACTCATCAGTCTCTGAAATTATTGAGCATAGGTCTTAGGTCTTCCTTTACTTGGTCATGCTGCCGCCTCTCTTGGAACAGACATTCTGTGACCCCGGGGCCCCCATCTGCCTGCTTCCCGGCTGTATTCTCAGCACAGTCCAGTGCTGCCACTGCTCGTGTTCAGTGAATGGGCAGGGAGAGCTGGGCGGGCAGGAGACATGCGGGCAAAGGGAGGAAAAGAAACAAAAGAAATGTGTGCTGTAAAAACCAGTCAATTCACTGGGCGGGAGTGGATTAGACTGATCTTTTTAGCTTCTAGCAAGTGAGCTACTAAGTTTTGGCTTCTGGGAGGTGGGCAGAACTAGGTTCCAAGGCCACTCTCTGTGGCTCAGACCCCACCAAGTACTTGACCAGTTCTCTTTATGCTGAGCATTTCTAAGGGGGCCAACAGCCCACCCACCTTCGCTTAGCTGGTGTACTTTCCAGTTCTCCACGCAGACCAGGCCCAGTTCTTCAAATCTCAGACTTCATCCCTCAGGCTTGGTCGAAAACATATACCAAAGAAAACAGGTGCCACAGAATGAGAATTATCCTGTTTTCCCAGTAGTAATGCACGGACTTAGCTGCAATCTTCCCTGTATAATCTACTTTCCAACTGACAATAATGCAAAAACAAAACAAAACAAAACAAAAACCACCAGCTCCTTCTGCCCATCCCTATCTCCTGTGTGAGTGGCCCCTGCCTTTCTACCAGCTGGTTCTCATCCTCACATCCCATTGCCATCTCAAAGCCCTGCTGGGTTCTGGTCCCTACCAGGCTGTTGTCCTTAATTGTTTTCATTCTTTCCATAGAGAAGGGGGTTATGGGTGGCATGTGAGCAACTAGGTGGACAACTATCACAGCAGACCTCTGCACATGATTGGTGCATTGCAGGATTGACTCACTTTATGATGAAGTCCTTCCTATCAAAATATAATCCATTATGTATTTAACATTGCATTTGCCCCTAACTAGACCATATGGGTGGGGCATTTGGGTAGCATATGAGCCAATCTCCCCATATTTATTGATTTGATGATCTCTTGTCACAAGGGTTCACACTATTTGTTTTTAGTATAGAAATGTTCTGGGTTTTTTGTGCGTTTACTTTATGAAAGTATGTATACTTTCATACAAGTGGTTACTATTAAATTGCCTAAAAATATTGTGCTGAACTGTAACCATGGATCTTAAAGAGTGGATTAAAAAGAAAATTTCAGTGAAATTGAAACAAGAAATTATTTTAGAAAGCACATTGATGGTGTGAACTTTAGTGAACTGGTATGAAATTTTGTTTTTTTCCATCCATTTCATTTGCAAACTCTGATTTTGAAAGCTGTTTCCAATTTACATTACTGATTTTTAATTTCATCTTTTTATGTCAAAGACAACAAAACTGTCTCGTATTTGTGTTGTTTTATTGTATAAATCAATCTTACATAAGCTTGGTTATGTGCCAAAGTTTTCAAAGGTTGCCATCTTAGGACCAATGATGCAGTATCAGTGTATTATTGGGTTCACATTACGATGTTTTCTTAATACAATCGCATCTGCAGAACAGATTAGTAAAGTGGAGGAGCTACTTCCATTCTTATCTACACTTTACAAAGATAAACACACGAGTGATACTATACATGCACTACATATTTTAAATCAGTTCTGTCTCAGTAGGGATGGAGAAAGAATGTCTCCAGCATGTCTTCCTCCCTCTCTGCCTGCTTTCTGGGACAGGGGGATTCCTGCCTGTCCGAGTGAGGGCAAGCCCACCTGTGCCTGGGGACTGCTCAGAAAAGAGATCTGTTCCTGCTTCCATAAACTTAAAAGAAGCAAGGCATGGACCTCTTGGGTCTGACTTGGATACACTGATGCGGAACATCAGTGACAAATTCCATGTATGAATTGAGGTTTTGGGGAATAAATGATTCCGGGTCTTTATTTTTATATCAAATAATGAAAGATGGTGAATTCATATTGTCTATTCTTTTTTCTTCACTGAAAACAGGAAAGCAATGCAGAGGAGTTTCCAACATCTTAAGGATTTTGCAAAACCATTCAGGTTCCCCATTTAGTTCTTCAGCAAATATCTTACCTCACCAAAAGTCCATAAATTTTACAAGGACATGGGGCTATATTTTTCCTTCTTTCTCAAGAGGTACTGGTCCTCAAATGAAGGTATGATAAATGGGTATAGTTATAAATATTCCAAGGCTAGTAAGAACACAAGATGTACTGTAGAAAAATCTGGTAAAGCGGGGGATGGATCCTGGCGTGTGCTAGAGTTAATGGATCGTGACCCCATGTAAATTTCAGAGCTATTTTACAGATAAGGAAAAACAAGGCCAAAAAGTAACCATAAATTAAAATTTCACCAAATTTTCTTTTAAAAGTCTGTTTTCAACTGACTGCTAATTAAGATATAAATTAAATTTGTGGACATTTTCAGGATTCTAATAGAAGGTCTGTTTGTCACTTCATTAGTAATGGGGGAAAGAGAAGCATTCATCAAAGTCTTACAATTAGTAAAATGTGCTCTGTTCGAACTAGCAACGCCCCGTAGGTGAGCAGGGCCTGGGAGTAGAGTACATTCAGAGGAACATGAAGTAGGGTTAATGGACTGGAACGTTTCTTACAATCTGATAGACATTTTTGTGCCATATCACCTGTATGGGTACATTCCCAAGATCACAGATTATAAGTGGCTGCTGCCCAGAGTTGCCAGATTTATCACAAATAAACAATAATCACCAGTTACACATGAATTTCAGATAAACAGATCACTTTTTAGTATAAGTATATCCCAAAGTATATTACATGAGACATACTTATATTGAAATATTATTCACATATTTTAGTATATTGAATTTTATCCTGGCAAACCCAATGTTGCCTGGTGGCTTGTGAAGCTGTGAGGACATTTCAGGTGAATCTTAGCAGAACAGCAGAGCCCTCTAAGCACCTTGAGTTGCCCTCAGACCCAAATCCAGTAATAATCTGATGCCAGATGGCACTAAATGTGACTAAGCAGACACCTCAACACAACATCCACAGTGTCCATGGAGACACGTCCAAAACTGTCTGCCTGCTTTCCTAAATTAATTTAGAATCATACAAACACAGAATTTTAGAACTGGAGAACTGCGTAGGTTCCTTTTTTTTTTTAAAGAAAAAATTATGTCATTTTTAAGCACAAAGAACTTTCCTACAACTAGTTATCAAGAGGGAGTGAGGAGAGTGATGTGAGCACCACATTTAACCACCAGGGAGCCTAGAAGATGCCAGTGCCTAGAAGATGCCAGGGAGCCTAGAAGATAAGATGCCAGGCCCCGAATCTATTTATTTCCCAATGTCAGCCACTTGTTAAGGGTTACATCCTGATAAATTCATTGTAAACAAGTCGAACACACTGGCTTAACACCGTACACTGAGATGGATCAACTGTTTCCCTTCGTGACAGTGTGGGGGGGAGGGTGCCAGGGGACTCCCGCCCACCGCCACTGGCCAGCATCATCAGAGAGGATCCTGCCACACCCTGTGAGCCTAGAGGAAAAATGTTAATTTTCAAATTAACATTTGAAATCAAAGTATGGCTTCTGTAGAAAGGATGCAGCATCATAAAGTCAAAAATCAAAGGTGGAGCCATTATAAGTCAGGGGCCATCTGCACAGACCCAGAGAGGTTAAGTATCTTGTCTGAGGTCACAAAGCAAGGCAGATGTGCACGGATATGCACGGCTAGTCCTGTTTCAGATGAGATGTTGGTTGCTCAAGCCCTAGAGTCAGGTGCGTAAAGGGTTATTAACACAGAGAAGTTCAAACCCAGGAGGATGTTACAAAGGCCTGACCCCAAATGATCTAAGTTTGGGGGCATAGGAATGAAGTGGGGAAGCAAGAGAAGGAAGACAAATGTTTTCAAGCTAGGAAGATGGAAAAGCACACTGCACATGCCTCAGATAGAAGTTTCAGTGTGTGCTCTAGAGCTGGAGGGAAGGGCAGGAAGGGCAGCTTCCCTACACCAGGAACTAGAGGGAGACATGGGCTTCATTCATTTCAACCACCTCATCTCACAGTATGGAACCAAACCAAGAAAGGGCAAACAACTTGCCCAAGACTACCCAGAGTCACCAAGGCTCCTTTCACCCAACTGCTTCCTTGGGCCTACAAGCCAGAAATGAAAGTCTAAATAAGTTTTGTTTTTTTTTTAAATTTTATTTTAAAAAAGGGGGCCTCCCTGGTGGTGCAAAGGGTTAAGATGCAGCACTATGAAGCTATCCGCAGCCACTGCAGCACGAGTTCGATCCCCAGCCAGGGAGGTGACCCACATGGCACAGCAGACCCCTCCTGTCTCACCTGCTGCTCCCCTCAGTAGTATTTCAGTCAGTCTGCCTGTTCTGCTCCCCACTCTGTCTCTTGTGAATCTTCTCACCCACCACACCTCTGGCCTGCACCCCAGCTCTTGTAGGCATAAATAAATAAATCTTATTTTAAAAAAAAGCAATTTGGACATATCAGGAAATCCTGGCCTTGAATCCTCTCTGAGAACTCTTTGGGAATCCACAAAGAGTTAAGAGAAGCATCTGCACACAAAAGAAGACAAGTCATAATTTTTTTTTCCCAAAGGGGGTAGATCCAGGAAACTAAACCATCAGACAGGATCCTGTCGAAGCTAAAAATCAATATTAGCAGATTTTTGTAAGCACTAGGCACTAACAAGCACTAAGTATATCATGTCAACTTGCTTTATATCCTGTTTTTGACAGAGAGCTTGGTGAGCAGGAAAAGTCTGGTCTGCTCAGTTGTCAAGATTTTGGCAGAGCATGTGATAGTTTCATACCTGGCGGGGAAGATGAGAAAATAAGAACTGGATGCAGGTCAAATGCAACCTTCCAACAATACCTTTGCCGGTCCCACCACACACCTGGAAACCCCACCCTCCACTCTCGGAGGACTGCACGCTGACTGCCAGCCCAGGAGACACCCTCCTGCACTTCATTACCTGGATACTGTGAGCTGAAGGTTCCTGAGCTCCTGCACATGGGCAACTGCCAATCCCGTGAATGAATTCATATTTCTATTATTCACTGACTATGTGTAGAGCATCTACAAAGTCAGGCTTTGTTCTAAGCACCCTGTGCCTTGCTTAACAAAACAGACATGGTCCCTGTCCTCAGGGAACTTAGAAACTAAAGCAATAATGATACAAATAATAACAGAAAATAATAAGGCAATGGACTGGATGTCCCAAGGGGAGGCATTAGGGAAGACTTCTCAGGAAATGACTTTTCAGCCCAGACTCAAAACAGGAAAAAGCAAATTTAAGGAAAAGAGAAGAGATCGTAGAGCCCCTGTGGCAGGAAGATGCAGGGCACCTTCAGAAAGAAGGCTGTGGGGGTGGAGGTAGGCGGAATGAGACCTGAAAGGCAAGGGGCCCATGTCCCCTCAGGGTTTGGGGGAAGGGGGCTGAAGCAAGGACCCATGGCTTTTTTTTCAAAGGCCACTCTGGCTGTATGTGCAGAATAAACTGGAGTAAGAACATGAAAACCAGTTAGGAAGCTCCAGCAGTCATCCTCGCCAGTTCCGAACCACAGACAAATTGGTAAGTGCACCGTTCTGAGGATTCAAGTTCATCACAATAACCCACAGTTCACTCATGCTTGGGTAACCATCTGCAAGAAGATCTTCACCACGCAGGCCCCAAAATTTCTCCAGGGCTTTGCCCTTGGTCTCCGTCCTTTCTAAGATCTTTATCTGAATGGGATGAGGCCAGAAGGGAAACCTGCAGAGCTGCCCAGCACAAAGCTTTGGGGGGTGTGGAGGTCTGGCCAGTATCAAGGACTTCTTTGAGTGGCTTCCTGGAGAAAGAGAAGGTTTGCAAAGGTGAAAACTAAATGGGCTCTGTTCACAAGGAACTCTCAGGCGAGTGGGGGAAGTCTGAGCATAACAAATATTTATTCAAGGCAGACTGAGATAAGGGTTATCTTTCCAGGTGCTATAAACAAATGATGCACATTGTTTGATACTTGTATGTATGATGGATATTGGCAAAAAGTTAATTCTGGCAGGGAAGGAAAGTTTTAAAAAACTGACTTCTGACCTTGGCTTGTCAGGCTGAATAACATTTTAAGGGGTGGAGGAGGGATGGGAGGAGTCAGAATTTTCTAAGAGCAGGTAAAACCTGAGTATGGCAGGAACAGAGAGGAGTGTACCTGCTGGGGCCCAGGGGCAAGGCAGTCCCATTCCACATTTTAAAACCTGGAGATTATCATTCATTTGTAGGCTACAGTGCCCTTCCACACGTATTGTCTCATTTAATCTCACAGGAGGTAAGGTCAGTAGGACCCATCTTGACTGACACCTAAGAACACTGACATTCATTCACCCAGTCACATGGGATGGAGCCAGAAGGCACACTCAAGGGTTCACACTCATTCATGAGCCTCTTCCACTCTTAACAAGGACACCTGTTCTTCCCCCATTCCTTATAATAGAAAGAAAAATAAAGACATCCATTTAGATTAAACAAATTTTTTCATAAGTACATGGTGATCACAAACACAGCACCTGCTCACAAATACTGTTCTTGGGTTATGGCAAGCTGCATTAAGATACAGTTGGAAATGATGGTAAATAATGGCCCTTCTGTGACCTTGAAGCCAGACAGCGCTCAGTCTGAAGCACTTCCACTCAGTAGCTGTGTGGCTATGGGCTGGGGATTACTTCACTCCTAAGTGAAGTCTCCCCATCTGGAAATTGGAGAAGTAAAAACCCACCCTATTAGGGTTGTTGGGACACTGAATGAGAAAGTGACGGTAATGAGGCTGGCTGGCAAGGAGCCTGGCACACTCTGTTAATGATGGCCTTTATTAACTCTCATCACAGCTCTCTGTCAAGGTTAGAACACATTTGAATACCACACTCAACTTCTGGTTCCACATTCTATGAGATAGTGAAAATTAAGGAAGTTTGGAAAGGGCTATCAGCAGGAACGGTTAGAAAGAACACTGGTCTTTCAAGTCTGGATACCTAAATGTCCGAGTTCTTGTCCCAGTTCAGTCACTGGCTCTGTGATCTCAGGCAAGTCACCACTTACCCATGACTCAGATCCTCTCTGTAAAGTGATGAGGGTTAAGATCTGAATTCTAAATGACTTCTAAAGTCCCATTCAGCTCCAAAAGGCCTTATGCTTTCTAAATCCTCTTATGCAGACCTTTTAAGGGAACTGGGTTTTCTAAAAGAAGAGATGACTAAGAAGCTCCATGATGTAGTTTTTTAAATGATGAAAGCAGTTTTATAAAAGAAGAGTTCACTTAGCGTTTTACAAGAAATAATTAGAAAAGTAGGATCAATAGGAGAAAGACTGAAAAGGAAGCAGATTTTGGCTCCGACTAAGGATAAAGGAACTTTCCAACAATAAGAATTATTCATTAATGGATACCAGACATATTCAAGATTGTGAGATCCTCAAGGGCAGAATGATATTGTACTCAACTTCATACTTCCAGCACCTCACTCAGTTAGTGGCACATAGGAAACTTAAGAATTGATGGATAGATGGGTAGATAGATGGGTGAACAGGTAGGTGGATGGATGGATGGATGGATGGATGGATGGGTGGATGGGTGAATGGGGATTAACAGATGGGTGGAAATGTAGGTAGAAGGGTGGGTGTGGGGTAATTGGATGGGGTGGATGGGTAGGTAAATGGATGTGTGGACAGTAGGTATGTAGATGGGCTGACTGAATGTGCGGATAGAAAGATAAAGGGGTAGATAGCAGTGGAATGGGTAGGTATAACGGTAGATAGGTGGGTGGTTTGATGGATGGGTAGATAGATGAGAAGGTATATGGGGTACCGAGAGATAAATGGATTGGTGGGCCAGTGGGTGGACAGGAGGGTAGATGGGTAGATGAGGGTAGGTGGGTAGGCAGATAGTTGGGTGAATGAGTGAGTGGATGGGGAATAGGTGGGTAGGTGAGTAGGTGGGTGGAGATGAAGGAGAAGGAAGGAAGGAGGGAGGGAGAGAGGAAGATAAGAGGATATAGTGAACTTCCCTTTGCTGGGTGTGTTCAGGCATCAGCTGGATGACCATCTGTAAGGGGTGTTGCAGAATGGATTTCTATCCGGTGTAGGAGGTTTCACTAAAGGTCTATGTGATATTTATTTCCTCACTTCTCTCCCCACTAACTCATCCTACATATATTTGTCAGAGTAATCTTCCTAAAGGACAGTTCTGTTGATGTCACCCTCCTACTCAAAAAATTCAATGGCTTCTCACTGCCTATTCTATTAAGTCCACAATCCTGATATTTGAGGGTTTCCTTCCTGGATCTGCGTTCAGGACTTTTATTCATTTTTCAAAATCCCACTTGGATATATCCTCCATCTAGAAGATCAACCCTCATCCCCTTCTCCCCACTTTATCTGATCTGTGTCAATTGTTGTGCATCTTTGCACACAACTAGAATGTATTTGGTGACAGTCTTCTATGACTGTGAAGTTCCAGAATGAGGAAGGAATCTTTACCTCTGTATCTCCAAAAAGTACCAGAGTTATCTTTGTGGTAACTCTGCAGTAGTTATTCAACTATAACAACAGGAATTATCATAATTCCTGAATCATTTTTGAATTATTTCTCATAAGTCAGGCATTCTGTTAAATTCCTTAAATGCATTATGTGTATGGATCTTTATAACAACCCTACTCTCCCTCTTAAATAAACAAGTGGAGGCTTAAGGGAAGATCAATAATTTGCACAAGACACAAAGCCACCAGATGATATTAGAAGCTGGGTTCAGACCTGGTACTGTCTGTCTTTAAGTGCTGCGTATAACCCGCTTCACAGGTGCCTTCCATGCAGCGAGTCCATCCACGCCACCAAAACATCATTCACACATTCAATAAGCATTTACTGAACCAATGGGGCCAGATTCTATAAGTGGGGTTTCGCTCTCCAGAAACTTAGCATTTAATGTATTAAACAGACAAATCGACATCGATGCCACTGTGAGAGAATATTATTGGAGAAGTATGCTCAAGAAGAAAACCATTTCAACCCAACTGGAGAGACAGGAAATATTCATTACAGCAAGGTTCAAGTGTAGTGGTTGAGACAATCATGCCTCCCTCTCAGCTGTGTGCACAAAGGTAACTTACTTTACCCTTTTGCATCTGAGTTCCCTCATCTGTAAAATGGGATTCATAGTATCTTACCTCATAGGGTTGTAGTGATTAAGACACTAAATCTAAGGAAGGCACTAAAATGCTGCCGGGTCTATAGTGTTATATGAAATTCACTTATTAAGTAACTTGCCCCAAGAATATAGAAAATAAATGACTGATTCCAGTATCCATATCCATTTCTCACAACTTCCCTCAGGAACCCCCAAGACAAGGTGATGTGTGGGCTGATTTTGAAAGGCAAGTGAAGCAATGGGGAGGAGGTGGAGGGATATGACTGGCAGTGTGCACAGCCAATATTGCACATTGCCCTACCGCTGCACTATTGCTCTTTCTTTTCTCTGCCTGATACTCCTTTCACAGCAATTTTTACCCATTGAAATCACACCATAAAGCAGCAGCCATCCCCTTAGATTCTCCCATGTATTTGTCCCTGGCCTCCCTTCTATTCCTTCTTGACTAACAGCTCTCCAGTTCAAGTTAGCTTTGTGCATACAGTTGGCATTTACACATACTCATCCACACGAGGATGGACACACATGCCTACATAGGTACACATATGCCCGTTGCTCATGCAGGTACTTTATAAAGCACTGCAAGGATCCTCAGCTCAAGTTCAAGGGTATTTGTTATACTAATTACTGTTCTAATGTTGGTGAAATTGAAACCATCCCCAAACTGTAGACAGCACCACTGTCAGTATTTCCTACTCATTCTAACTCATCTTGAACTTCTCACTAATGGGGGAAGTAAGCTGATTTATTATTTAAGCCTGCAACTCCATCTAAGTAGTTCAAAAATGGAAAAAGAAAACTTGAGACAAAGAAACCTTTGCCCTCCCAAATAGGTATTTATCAGAAACTGTCACATTTGCTTTCTTGTTTTCCTTGCAATCTGGGATGGAAGAGAGTGGGAAGGAATTTTATATTAAAAATAACCAGAAACATAATTAAAAATTTCCAAAGGTTGGCCTATGTCAACGATTGTTTTATTTTGAAGCCTGAAGGAATTCTGTTTCTCTTATAGCCAACTTTTGATCAAACACCTCAGAAATGCAATGAAATCAAAATACAATAGCAGGCTAAGGGAATAATGCAGAGAAAATATAGCCCCAGACGAGTGAAACTGAAGTTAATGGATAAAAATGAACAAATATTAATTTCATCTTATTTCTTTCTTTCAGCCCAATTATCTAAGGGGTAGGCAGATGTGTGGTCACAAAGCAGGCAAAGTGAAAGTAAGGAAGTAAAAAATCAAGATAATCCAAAAAAATTGGTAATTGCCCTTCTCTAAATAAAAGCCATAGCCTCTGAGCACTAATTAATCTTTGTCATAGGTCTCCTTATTTTTTTTTAAAAAATCATGAACTTGGGCCTCCCCGGTGGCGCAGCGGTTGAGCGCTGGGTTGCGAAGCTCCCCGCGGCCTCTACGGCGCCGGTTCGATCCCCGGCTGCTCCCCGGCCACCGGAGGAGGGTCCCACATGGCGCACAGACCTCTCCTGCCGCCCGCTGCTCCCCTCAGCAGTGTACTTCGGTCCTTCTGCCTGCTCTGCTCCCCGCTCTGGCTCTGGTGAATTCTCTCACCCTCCCGCGCTTCTGACTGTACCCAGTGCATGTATAAACAAAAAACAAACAAACAAACAAATAAATAAAACATGCCTCTATAAAAAAAAAAAAATCATGAACTTAAAACTACTTACAAAACTAGAGTTAAAGAGGGATTAATTTTTTTTTTTACTTTGGGGGGGATTTGGGGCATCAACTTATTTTTAACAAATTCAGGTTAAGTAACAGGGAAGATAAAAGTACATTTTGATGCCAAATAGAACATTTGGGGGGATATCCCTAAAGTAGAGGATATGGAACAATGACCATAATTAAATATGAGAGAGCTAACAAGAAGGCAAGCCTATTAAAATAAGTTATTTTTCCTACCAACAATATTAAAGTATGTATCTTAACGATGCTATCTTTCTTTAGGTAAAGATGATAGATTATCACAAACCACCCTGTTTAACAACAATGAAGTATTTTGGTTCACAAACTGCTGACAATAAGCTGCACAGCTAACCAGACTGTGAGATTTTAAGTCTAATAAAATGTCACAGCCAAACTAATGCAATCTCATCTTTTATTTGAAGTATCCATCTACAAATCCAGAACTATATGGAAAAACACCCCAAAAGTAATTTTAGGCTAGAAAAAAATGCCTCAAATTTCATCTCCCAAAGGCATACCACTATTAAAACAAACGGAATTGGCATTTTTTTTTCCTTCTCATGCAGCCTAAATCTTGGTTCATAGAGAGTAACAGGCTATTTTCAAGATTTCCCTAAAGATTTCCTTCACTCTTGGATCTATGATGCCCTAGGTCGTAGAGCAAGGGACTTGGGATTTGAATTCTGATTCCAAATTCTATTCTAACATGAAGGGGTTAAAGGTGGCTCCCAAGATCAGTGTTCTCCAACTCTACTGTTCTCCAAGCTGCAGCCAGAGTGATCCTATTCAGTGAAGTCAGATCACATCATTCTTTTCTGCTCAGAACTCTCCCTTTGCTTCTCAGCATAAAAATCATAGCTGTACAAAATGGCCCCCTGGCACCCACATTTCTGGTCCCTGTGCCCTCACCTGTTCTTCCCTTCACTCATCCCCTGCGGCCACATTGGCCTCTTTCTACACTGGCCGCCCCCATCTGGAATGCTTTTCCCCAAAATATCTGCATGGCTAATTCATCACCTTCAAGTCTCAGAATATTTCCCTTCCAATGAGATTCACTCTAAATTACCTGTCATTTATGCTGAAGTGTTTTGGTTTCATTTGTATGTATGTTATAGATACATTTTTTCTCTTTCTCCCATGGTACTTAACACTTTCCAACAAATAACACAATGGACACACTGATCTTTCTGTTCACTATTCCCTCAGCTAGAGTGCATGCTCAGTGAAGGCAGGGATTTTCCTATGTTGTCCACTCACTGATGTATCTCATATGTATGGTGTGTAGCAGGGGTTCGAAAAAATACTTGCAAGATGAATGAATATGATCTTTTACTAGTCTAACAGCTGTGAGCCCATAAAGTATATAGTACTTCTGCTTGGTAAACCATTAACTGGTATTTGCCCATAGAAACTAACCCAAGAAACTGAGTTACTAATTGGCTAATTGTTACCATTTATTGAGAATTTACTCTGTACCAGATACCATGTTTTACACGTTTTGTCATTTAATCTTCACCAAAGCCTGTTAAAAAGATATCATAATCCTCCCAAATGTCTTAAGGAACCTAAAGAAATTTAAGCTTAGAGAGTTGTTAAAAGCCAAGACCACACTGTGATGAATGCTGGGCTTTCTGCAGATCCAGAGGTTTCAGATGACCCCCCCGCACACCACACTATCTCCTTCATTATAAATCCAATGGATCTCTCCAACAACCTCAGAAAACAGAAAGGCCCCACAGACATGTCATGAAAAGACTCCAGGTACATTGTCCTAATCACACAGAGAAAATGTGGACTAAAAATAATGCAATACAATTTTGTGAAAGAAGCTATACTGTTATAATAAAATGTGTGGTCATCCTTATGACATCGTTCTGATACTAACCAAACCAAACCAACAGAGCAGGAAAGCACAGGTGTGACCTACTGAACTCAGCACAAGTCACCCTCAGGACCCATGCGACCAGGATCATCCTTGGCCCCTCCACTGAGCCAGGGAGACAAGCCTAATGCCACCCAACCTTATGTATTTCCTGCAAATTTTGAGTCTAAATGAGAATAGCCTACCTATAAATTAGTGCATTTAAGAAGACAGGCACTGGGCCTCCCTGGTGGTGCAGTGGGTTGAGCGCAGCGCTGTAAAGCTGTCCACAGCCTCTGCAGCGCCAGTTCAATTCCCGGACGGTGAGAATCCCACATGGCACAGAAGACCACTCCTGTCTCACCCACTGCTCCCCTCAGCAGTGTATTTCGGTCCTTCTGCCTGTTCTGCTCCCCAATCTGTCTCTCTGGTAAATCCTCTCACCCTCCCGTGCCTCTGGCCTATACCCCAGCTCTTGTATAAAAATAAATAAATCTTTTTAAAAAAAAAAAAAAAAGACAATTCCCCAGCCCAACAGAGGAGAACCTATGTCGACTCACATGCTGAGCCCAGCAGTTCCCAGACAGGGCCAGGTAATTCTCTCAGAGGCCCTCGTGTCTGAATGATCTTAGTAGGGGACCAAAATTTAGTTGCCACAAAACCACAAAGGAGGTAGGGTCCATGACCAGAAACTTCCAGAGGGGTCAGCTTCTTTTTAGGCAGCAGGGAAATCAGTTGAAACCAGTCACCCACTGGTATGGCTTAAAACAGGCTATTTGGTCACGCAAGGCTGGGGATGCCTTAGTCACCTTCACCAACTCCAGAAGCACAGACACGGGAGGAAAGAGGAAGAGGCCCAGGGTCCTACTGAGTCCCACACAGAGCAGATGACACTTTGTACCCAGACCTGGTTTATTCCAATACAGTTCACTAGATCTCATCAAATTCGCCCCATGGTTTCTCAGCCAGGCACTACATAGGGAAACATTTGCTTTCACCTTTAAGCAAGGGGAGGTAACCACCTCATAGACCAGGGACAGAGGTAGACGGAATCTGAACATGTTGATTGAACTTGTCTCATTCAGATAGAACGTCTGAAACATCAAAGCATTACATGGGTAGTGCGAGTTTTTCTTTTACTTAATAATTCTCAATTGAATTCAAATATCTAAAATTAGATTAACATAAACGCTAAGAATTCGTGATCACTGTTAAAAACTCCAAATTTTAAATCCCTGCTTAAATTGCTTTAATCAAGATAGCAATCCTAAAGCCTGTTATTTGCAGAAAATTTTACTGTTAGTAATACAAAATAAACAGGTCATCCCTGAGGGAAGAAATTGTAATTAAGAGTCTTCACAAGTGTTCTGTAACCACTGGGAGCTACCCTGACACATGGATGTCTTTGGGGGAGGGGTGTACTTGAGCTCTAACTGTACTTGGAAAAATAGCATTGTCGCTATGGAAGCAGCTCTAAATTTTGACTGTTTTCCCTTCTGCAAGAAAAGGCCATATTCTTTATATGTGGCTTTCCTTTTCACTGGAAATGACTTGGACAATAATCCACCTCGCCTATAGCATGCCCTGCCTTACACAGTGGCCACTCTGACTCTCCCACGGCTCAAGTCTATTCTTGAAGCTGCGCCCTACAAAGGAAGGTGGAATATAAATCACCTGGAATACCAGCATTCCCTACAAAAAGAAAAAGGTGACTTTCATGAATTCACTCATGGCCCATGAAGGGCCCTTGTCGCTGGTTAAACTGGTCTAATTTCAATGGCACGCTCCCCAGGCCCTTCATTGGTAACCTGCCAATCAACATTGACTAAGTGTAACCAAATTTGGTTTGAAGACAAATGTTTCAGAAATTTTTCATTAAGGGTACTGATGTTTTAGAGTGGTCACCTTCAGAAAGTAGCACTTCTTGCAGTAACATGATGAAGAGGGTTGTTCCAATACGTTTTAAACTCCTTTCTGAATGGCCTTCAGAATCTGTCCCATTTCAACAATTCAGTGATAGTAAGTTGTCATTCTCTGAAGGTGTATTTGATTCTGGGAAGCAACCAGCAGGGATTGAGAGCCATGCTTGCCAACTAAGGTGGGTAGTCATGTTGAGTAACACTGTTTTTCATAAAAATGAGGTGTGAGCAATAGGGTCATCAAACTGGTTTTCTTATGAGGAACTGTAGGGGCAGGACAGGCCACAGTGCAGGTGTAAAGGCAGGACTGGACACAGTGCAGGTTTTCTGATCCCATGCAGACCGGGTAAAGGAGGAGTCAGAGTCCTCAGTGGTTTTGCAGGTTTTTTATTGAGGTTCAGCGGGTACATGGCAGGCAGGGGTGCTGGGGGGCTGGCAGTCCTCCCAGCCCTCAGCAAATCTTCACTCTATCTGGGCTCTCTGGCGTTCTCTGCTTCTGCTTTGGGCTTCTTCTCTTTCGGCTTCTACTGCTGCTTCTGCTGGCGTCCCCATGACGCCGCCCTTAAAAGCACAGTCTTAGCCTAGGTGAATCCCATCTACATCTGCCCACACCCTACTCCAGGTGCCCGCCATCAGGCATGCATTCAGGACCTCAAGGAACCCTCATCTATCCTAATGGCGGGAGGGCAGAAAAGCCTGATATTTTTCCTTACCCTACAGCAGGTTTTCTAAGATCCAGCAGACCAGGTAAAGGAAGAGTCAGAGTCCTCAGTGGTTTTTGCAGGTATTTTATTGGGGTTCACCAGGCA